CATAAAACAGCATTGGTAAAAACAACGGATAAAATGCACTTGAACACATTAAACACAGTTACAACTAGAACTTCTGCTTTCAAAAGTGTGCAGTTTTATTTGAATTAAAAGTACACAGGTATTAGGATAAAAATATACTTGCAGAATGGATAGTTTCAGTATAATATTCATTGTATTTGTTACTACATACAATGCCAGGTAGCTTGAGATCACTAAAGTTTGATTCAAACTTGTAATAATGGGTGATACAAGTTTCTCAAACTCGTTGTTTTGTACAATACTTGAGTAAAGGTGCTAATTGACTTTTCATAACTGTGAGCATCCCGTGTTATGTGCATGGTTAAACCTGCACCTGGACTCAAATATTGTAGTCCATACAGACTGTACACAGGACCAGCCAGCCAGTCTGTAATCTTCCCGGGACAAAACAGATTGTGTTTTTCATCCATTGAGTTGAAATTAAAAAGCATAGCAGATAGACACTGTAGATAAGGACACAGGCATTAATGGTGCAATGAGGGAAAACATCTGTGTTTAATGAGGCGGACAAGCTGCCTGGCTCTGGACAAGCTGGGCCACAGAGAGGTCACCTGGCTTGTTTGTTTTTTTGGTCTGTTTTTGGAAAAAGCTCAAGTGTAATCTGTGCGCAGAGCAGCTCACAGCTGAAGGTAACCCATTGTTTACAGATTAAACTCTGTTCCTTCGGTGGAACAGGCTGACCCAAATCGTTGAGGTCAGAAGGAAAATAAAATATATCAAAATGAATTGCAACAGTCATTTTGGTGTGTGTTCATGTGTAAGTGCTGCATGTGTGTAAGGGAATAAAGCGTCCTGCTAAGAGCATCACTGCAGTCTCTGGGCCAGTGTCATGTGTGAGGATCCTGGGGAGAGAGTAGAGTATTGTGTTTCTATTTGATTTATTAGCCTCTTATATAAGCAGCAGCAGGGGGAAGGCACATACTGAGGCGGGGGTAAAGGGCACTGAGCTATGAAATACAGTCTGGGTACACATAATTACACTGTAAGAATTTGCACCAAGGTAACAAAAGAAATATGAAAGACAGAACAAATATGTAAATAATTTGACTGTGGCAAATGTGAAACTAAAGTACACAAAGTACTCAAGAAAAAAAGATTGTGTTGTAAGTGCAAAAAGTGTGTTACTTGTTACTTGGAAACACAATGACGACACTGGTCGAAAGAGAATCATTTCACTTTAACAGATGTCCTTGACTAAGTCTCTGCCTGTACAGACAGAGACACTGAAGAGAGGACAGCAGTGAAGAACTAATAGGAAGATCTGATAACGTTTTCCTTATTGTATTTTGAACAAGTAGAACACAGCTTAAATGTAATGATTCCTACGTGTAGGAATTGTGTGTTTCTATTCAAACTAACAGCACTACACAGCATCATACTTTGACCAACAAAGCAATGTTATATATATATGATGAATCCCAAAATGTAATTGATGTATGAGTCAAAGTCAATAGCCAGAATATTACCTGGGCATCCAATCACAGTACACATGCGTAATATCTGGACTTGCACACACACACACACACACACACACACACACACACACACACACAGACACACACACACACACACACACACACACACACACACACACACACACACACACACACACACACACACACACACACACACACACACACACAACCACTCAGGTCAGCCAGGGCATCAGTGCAGGCAAACAAGGGGAAAAAAAGATGTGGAGACAAAGGAAAACCCATGAAACCTCAAGCACCTCCTGGCCTAAAACTGACCCAGGCACTGCTCTCCCCTCGGGCCTAATTGGAAGGAGAGTGGCCAAGTTACCCCTGAATGACACCAGTGAGTGTGCCTGCAAGGCTCTGGCAGTAGAAAACATATACTTTTTTCACTGTAAGTAATTTCTTCACTAAACTGTGATGTTACTGAGTCCTGGATCCCATTGGACAATGTGAAATCTGTGTAGATGGAAGAAAAAAGTGATACAGAGAAAAAGACAAGATGAAGGAGGAGGAGAAAAAGAAAAAAAAGAGGGTGAATTGCTGCAGCCCTCCCCTTTGCCTCATTCCCCGTCAGTCCGTGCTGACTGTGTGTAGCACTGCCTCCCCTCTCTCCTCTCCTCTCCTCTCCTCTCTCCTCTTCTCCCCTCTCCACTCCTTACCGTGTGGAATTGGGTTTACATAACCCACTGCAGTCTGAGATAACGTAGCACACCACTACTGAAGACACCTTCTCTTACGAGGCAAATAAGACTCACAACATTTGCAGCATAAACATTCACAGTATAGCATGTCGCATGTGCTATACTTAGGAGGTGATACTCACTGCCATCGGCCACTTTAACATGTGTCTACAAGCATGTGTTCACATGTCTTTTCTGAGTAAGTGTTCACAAAAGCTATTGCACATGGTACAACTAGCCCTCATATATGATTGGTTTAGTCTCACAAAACCTCATTCCAGAAACAAGGAGCTTCTTTATGACTTTTCAGGGAACTGCTCTCTGATTCCACACAAAATACCAAAGGCTTTTTTTAACCCTGCTGTCCTGACAGAACCCCTTGTGTTCCAGCACCATGTGAACACTACTCAAGGGTCTTTGATACCTTCCCCTCTACTGACATTACTACGTGTGTGTGTGTGTGTGTGTGTGTGTGTGTGTGTGTGTGTGTGTGTGTGTGTGTGTGTGTGTGTGTGTGTGTGTGTGTGTGTGTGTGTGTGTGTGTGTGTGTGTGTGTGTGTGTGTGTGTGTGTGTGTGTGTGTGTGTGTTTGTTGTCAAGAGAGAGAATGCAGCAAATGTATGTAACTGTTCCTAAATCACAGTTAGTGTTTTACCAGTTTTGTACCCAGCCAGTTCTGTCTGGACAGGGACGGGGGAGAGGTCATATTCAAGGGTTGTTATCTGTCTGGGAACGCAGTTTAATGCTCCAGTGTGTGTGTGTGTGTGTGTGTGTGTGTGTGTGTGTGTGTGTGTGTGTGTGTGTGTGTGTGTGTGTGTGTGTGTGTGTCTGTGTGTGTGTGTGTGTGTGTGTGTGTGTGTCTGTGTGTGTGTGTGTGTGTGTGTGTGTGTGTGTGTGTGTGTGTCTGTGTGTGTGTGTGTGTGTGTGTGTGTGTGTGTGTGTGTTGTGTGTGTGTGTGTGTGTGTGTGTGTGTGTGACACTGTGCGTCATTCATTCTGGCTGATGAACTTGAATCAGTAACCGGGACTGTTGTTCTCTACATTCCCCTCTCACTCGGTGGCTCAGAAGGGATCAAGTGACAATACCTCACCCAACCCGACTTTCTTTTAGAACAACTGGAGCAATGATGCACAAATGTATTAAAATGCTTATTGACAATCCTACAATGACTATTTTTAAATGTTCAACAATCATATCAAAGTATGTCAACAAACTATTGGCTACGGATTTGATACAGGGTTATGTTATCAATTTGTTGACATAATCGCCACATGGTCGTTAGTCAATATGGTTAGTAATATACCATAGTGCTAATGGCTCTGGTGCTAATTAGCTAACTTAGCAAGATGGTAACAAGGTGGCCTTTGTCTGCTTAACTTCAACTTGTAAGCATGCTAACATTTGCAGGTGGTTCAAAGCACCAACTTATTGTTGATGATAGGCATTATGATTATGGTCCATTGTGTTTATTGTTGGAAATGTATAAGGCTGTTGTGTCGTTTTGGAGAATTGACTGATATAAATATCACTATGCAGCAATCTGTGAAATTGTTGTTGATGTTTGGCAGAGTGAGGAGATGAGTAATTACATTAGAGGATATCAATGTCAACATATTTTAATAAGACCGGTAATTCCTGCCGGGCCTCTAATGCCTCCCTTTCCTTTCCTGCCTGGGCTAGCAGGCTGGTAGAGGAAGATCTTCTCTTCACTACAGCTCCTTTGTCTTAAATTCCCAAATCCCCCATTCTCTAGAGCAGGGGTGTCCAAACTTTTTTCACAGAGGGCCACATACAGAAAAACATACAAAGGGCTGTGCCACTCACTAGAGGTGAGTTATATTTCCACAAAAGTTAAATCATAAGTTGGAAAAATCAATCCAATGTAGGTAAATTATTCTTGATACTTGAAAATGCTTTAAGAAGAAAAAACAGCTCTCCAGAGGGTTTCAGTTATTGTGTTGGCAGCTCATCCCTTAAAACAGAAGCCTCAGATTGCTTATCATAAGAGGAAATGGGAAGGGTATATTTCAAGGTTGATATGGAAATAAGTTATTGGGATTTTTTCTTATCAACTTAGAAAAGGTTTCCAGCTTCAATTGACCGAATTCATTTGAAAATTGGGCTAATTAACACATGAATACTGTGTAATATATTTGAACATATATAAGAAGTACAATATAAGACAAACAGAAGTTTGATTTGTGGGCCATATTTCATCATACTTTTTTAATTTGCTGAGAGCCGATTCAAAATGGTCCGCATTTGGACAACCCTGCTCTAGGCCCTCCTGTCTGGTGGGTTGAGCTGGTTATTTCAATCCAGTAGAGTTGATGTGTCAACCAACTCCCCTCCCCAGTTATTTGTTGGCACCCAAAAGATTGTTGACATCCACCTGGATTCATCGTCTTCTTATTAATAGACACATGCGTTTTCAAGCATTTGGGATACCTAAGTTGTAAATGTATACATCCTGGGAGAGGGATCCCTACTGTTGCTCTTTCATTGATTGATTTTTATAATATGAATGACAATCTTCGATCTTATTATCCTTGTGTGAACTCCTACCTGTCCCTTCCTGTTTTAATTGTATTGCTGCTCTGACATCTGAATTTCCCCGCAGGGATTAATAAAGGTTTACTTTATTTTGTGTTAAATTAGTAGCAGGCGATGCCGTAAAGCTTTAAACCCAATTTAACCTCAAATCACCTCTTTGTTTGGAAACTGGATTAAGCATTACATTTCAAATCAGTGTGATTCATACATATGAATCATAATGGTAAAAAACAGGCGCCGGGAAACTTTGGTTACATAAGACAACCATTTCTTTATTTCACACCTCTGCTGTACATAACAAACAAGCAGACACACAATCTCACACACAAACAAACACACTCTCCCACACACAGATCTTAAGAAAATATACAAAACAAAATATGGCTGTTTATATGCCACGTGGGCTGAGCACTGATAATACAGTGGAATGATAACAACAAAAAATATCATTCGTCATCCTCTTCTTCCTCCACTTCTTCCTCCACTTCTTCCTCCACCTCTTCTTCTTCTTCTTCTACTACTGCCGCCACCGCCGCCGCCGCCTCCTCCTCCTCCTCGTCGTCCTCATCTTCTTCATCGCTGATAACATATTTCTTGGCCTTTTTGGTAGCCACTTCTTCGCCGTCGTCGCCGTCGTCTGCCTTCCTCTTACTGGATCCCTCGCCCTCCTGCTCAAAAACAGAAGAGAAGAGATGACTCTCATGCTGACACCAGCAGACATTTTGTACAGCTTCTCAGTACGTTCAGTTTGTTATGTTACAGTTTTGTTTTCGGGAAGAACCACAAGTGTTGTTATTCTGAAGATAAATGAGTGCATCTTTGAGTGCACGTTATTCAGAAGGACTAGTATTTCTTGTCCTGTTCGGTTCACTGAAGACGGACAGATGCCTTTTTTAAGCTCTAAAGTAAAATGCATTACACTGCCCCCTGTCTGTGCAGCAGGACACAACACCCACCTCATCGCTGTCTAGCTTCTTGGCCTTCATCAGCCTCTGGGCCTTGTCATCATCGGAGCCTTCATCACTGTCTGAGGAGTAGATCCTGGCTCGGTCCTCTGGATTGGGGGAAACAATTGAGGATGTTCAATAGGCCTTCCTAAAAACCTTGTGAGAAATAATAAAATATCCTCCCTCACCTCTGAGACCTCCGCCTCCCTTGAATTTGCTCTTGATGGCTGCCAGACTGATTGTCTCGTCGCCCTCGTCGTCGTCATCGTAGCGGTCGGGCTCCAGGTAGCTGCTGCTCAGGCCTCTAGCGTGCTGCTTCTCCCTCATCCTCCTCTGCTGCGACTCTCTGCGGATGGACGCTCGCAGCCGCTCCTCCTCTTTCTGACAGGAGAGACACCAGGGGGAAACATTTTAAGCACTGGCTTCAAGTTTGACATTTAGTTTCTAGCTGGTAATGCGAGTGCATAACTCATGTCATAATAAATTCACTACATAGTACTTTTACAACAGGTTTTTCAACCAGAATGAACCTATTAAATCAAAACATATTTTGAGCAGGCTCAACACCTCATTTCTGGGCTGCAACATTTATTTATATTCACTATCAAATTTCTTACATTTTTTATTTTATCATATTTTAAGTAGTGTTATAGTTATACAAGTGTCAGGTTTTGATAAGGTTTTTTAAGATCCCTGTACAGATTATATAGTCAGAATATATTTGATATTTCAGTATGGAACAAGCTGTTCAGTTTTCTCGTATTTATGGTTTTGGTTTATCTACCTCCTTGAACACATTACCCTACTTATTAGTTTAGTATTGAAGAAACATGGATGTTGTAGCAAAGCTATTTTCTATGCATATTAATTAACTAATCCATTTTAACTGTACAGGTAAGGCAGTAAAGGTAAAGAAAAGAGTGTGGTTACAGTTAAATGTCTTGAGTCTAAAGTCAAACTCCACATATTGGAAGCACATGAGGTGCATCCAACTCTGAAATTAAACTATTAATGGAACAGAAATAAGCTGTAAGTGCATCTGAACTGCTGCCATGTCAATCCACACAGCAATGGGAGCATTTAACGATTCTTTTTCAGACAATTATAGCTGCCCTAACCCTTTCAAGTCTGCCCCAAGATCAGCAAAATCTTGCATGCGAGACATTTTTAGAAGTTGCGTCTCTAACAGCAATAACAGCAGGAGCGCGATGCTTGTACAGTGATTCTTCCCCAGATGAGCGCTGAGCACAGTGAAACTATAAACGAAGCTATCAGCAGTACTTGTTTGGTGTTGACAGTAGATACAAAACCAGCCCCCTCCAGACATGCTGACACTTTTTCCATTTCACTGACCCCATTATGTAAGGACGTCAGGTTAAGTCTTTATGTAATTGAGCACAGTGCCTGTCCGCAACTGGCCTCACGCCACGTGTTTGGTCCCTGCGAGAACAAAATCATTCAGACAGGGGGGAGGAGAGGGTGCGTTACCTTGATCATTTCATTACGATGGGACTCTGGATCTCGTCCAGCCATGGGAAGGATTCTGATCTTCTGGGTCTTGGAGCAGCGGTCAGCCAGAGACAGAGTCATCTTCCTGTGGGTGGCGCTGTCTGTGGAGTGGGGCCTGGATATAGAAAATATACATGTTAGATTTCATGTATTCCATAGTGCTTTCTCTTTAAAAGTATTACCTTAAACATTAAGTGGGCAGTTTTCACAGCTTTATTAATATTCATATTTATATCGATTTTGTTGGTAATTTGGAGGAAAAATAAATATTTTATTAAATGAAAGTAATTAAATCCTATTCATTATACATTGGGAGAACTGAATAAAGAGGCAATTACCATTTATTTACCAAAAACATGTCAGCACTCAAATGCATGTCAGTATTTTTGAACAAATCTAAATGTCATAATCTTTGTGAAAGTTTGTCATTTTCTAATAGAAATGGCTCAATCTTACTCGAAAAGAAAGATTTCCAACAATTCCTAAATGATCAGCTCTCTTGTCATATAAGAGATATTTTAACATATTTCTTAAAAAGTGTTACTTTGAAACCTACTTTTTAATTTGTGAAATTGAATCTTTAAAGGAATGTCACATCACCAATTTCGGGAGCAAATTCAGCTCTAATCCTTAATAGAAAACTCTGCTCTGATGATATTACACAACCAGAACAAATGGTCATGTTCTGTCTGGCATGGCGTCATGAAAGCAGCTTTGGCCCGTGTCCTGCTGGTCCCATGTGTTCAGAGGAGACAGAACATCCAGGTGTACTCGGGGGCCGCTAAGAGGCTTACACACTTCTTATTGGGAGAAATCTGGGCAGCTTGCACAAGGTGATCCTGATCTTGCAGCATAGACTACATTCCTGAAAGGAGCTTGAATGAAGGCTATTGTTGTTGTTTTGAGTTAGAGGCACCGTGGGCCATATTTGCATGTCAGGGAGCCAGATAGAAGAGGAGTATCTCTAGCAACCTATAGATTTTGCCTCAAGGGAGAATTTCTCTTTGTGTGAGACTCAAGTCTTAATAGCAGCCTGTCACTAATAACAACAGTGGCATGTTTCCATGTTACCTGAATGTGAGTTTGGTTTTGAACACAGCCTGTCCCTGCAGTCCTGTACCCTGTCGGATGAACAAGTGGTTGTGGTCTCCCTGGAGAGGAGCCTTGTAAACATCGAACACTTCATTCCCAAGATGGAGGGACATGCTGTGGAAAGAAGGAGACTTTCTAAAACCATGGAAGAGGAGAGTACATCCTGTACACAGTTTAGCAACCTCCCACACATCCAGCTCCACATAATACACACCTGCCATCAGACCATTTCACAATGCGTGCATTGCTGTCTCGTATTTCATTTCCCTCTTCGTCTTTCCTGGCTCTCCAGCGAATCGTGTTCTCCACCTGTTGGAGAGAAACTCTGGTCACTCTCTTCATAAGAACATGAGCCTTGTTTCAAATTATTTCTAGAAGCCTTGTATAGAGAAAACTAAATACATTAAACAAAGTAAAAAACAGTTAGGCAATAAATAAGGTATTATTTATATAATAAGCTTAAAATAATCATTAAGGATTAAGCAAAAGAGTAAACTGAAATAAAATCCAACAACTATGAACCCCATAGATGGAGTACAAGCATTATAGGGAAATGAGCAGCAACATCAAAAGTGCCCTATTGCACTATTTATTTCAGACAACTACAGATAAATGTATATACAAGCATGGTGTGGACTACATACCTTCAGCTTCAGCCTGGTCCTTCCCTCCTCATCCAGCATTTCTTCATCCTCAAATTCATCCTCATAGTACTGAGGATCAAAGGGTCTATAAAGGGTGATTCATAGAAAATCCAAATGAGTTGACGACCTTTAAGTAAGGCAGAAGATATCCTGCTCATCAAGCCCCAACACATATAGCTGAACACTTCACAGAAAGTGTAAGCTCTTGCAAATCTCTTACTCGCAAGCACAGAGTTAAAAGTAGGGTAGGTAAGTTTGAGAAACCGGCTCGAGATACACTTTTTGTTATATTCCATGGAATGCTCTTAACATCCTGATAGCAATGAATATCTCAAGTGCTTTGACAAAAAATCCATTAAAAGAATGTCATCTGTGGAAGCCGTAATACTGTAAAAAGCACGACCAATCATTTTAGCCGGCCCGGCTAAAGTAACTGGATGGCCTACCTGCCTGTCAGCCTTCCATCTGTGCACAAACTTATCTCGTGCCCTCATTGGTCATGTGCGCGTTCGTGTGTGTTGGAGGAGGGGCTCTATAAGGAAGTGGCAGATTTTCTCCGGTTGTGTTATTTCAAATTCTAGCGATATCGAGCCGGTTTCTCAAACTTACCTGCCCTACCTTTAAATGATCCTAGGCATCAATTAAAGGGTCTAAAAATGGGCATTTACTTTTTTGTACTCTCTTAATTTTAAAGTACTTGAGAGCTCATCGGGTACAACATGCATGCTGTATATATTGACAGTGCCATGGTTCTGACCTGGGCTCCACAGACAGGAAGTTGGGCAGCTTGACAAAGTAAAGGTCAGATCCCAGGTCTGTGCTGACTTTTGGGATCTCTACTTCGATGCGGGTTTCGGGGGCATGCTCCTCTTCTGGATGATCCCCGTCCATCCCATCATCTGCATCCTGGACACACAAAGAGAGGGAAGGGAAGAGAACATTTCAAAATACACGTAATTATGGGGATCAGCTCGGAGAGGCATGCAGTGAAGCTCAGATAAAAATAGATTTGGGAACTCTTATAATTAATAATAATAATAATAATTCATTACAGTTATTTTTGCGATTTTCCAGATGCTCAAAGTGCTTTACATTACACATAACATATGTAACATTGAATACTGTGGACAATACCCACAGGAGCAAATTAGGGTGAAGTGTCTTATAAAGAAGGACTGGGCACAATTACAGGCACTTGAGGATCAGTGGAAGAAAGAGACAGAGAGCAGGAGGATGGACGTACCAGGGGCTGACCCGGGGTCGGAGGCTTCTCTGCATCACTGTCTGAAGAAATGTCATCAGCCTCTCCAAAGAGGTCATCTGCTGCCGTCTTCTTTACTGTCAAAAGTAAGTTAGATAACTACTTTAAAGTACATGAGCAACAAAAATGCATCCTTCAGCTGCAGTTAATACCAATAAATCTTTCAGTAAAAATGTCATTTCTTTTTCCAAGCGATTTCTAACCTTTTTTTGTTCCAACATCACTGTCTGAATCTGAATCAGAGGCGATTTTTGCTTTGGGCTTCTGTCTTAGAAAATCATCTTCGCTATCACTGCCCTTAGGAGAACCTGAAAAATACAAGCAAAACAGGTGGTAAAGCAATTTCATTTGCACACATCAGTTTTAGTTTGTAAAAAGCATTATTATCCCATGAAAAAGTCTAAGAGAAAGATGAATCTCTTATTATTCTCAGAGTCCTAAGATTAACTTTACAAGATCAACACAGATGTCTGGCTTGAGGTCCAGTCCCTGTACAATATCGGCTCGTCCTTTGACACTGGACTCAAGTAGTACCTGACTTCCTGCTCCTCGGCCCCTCGTCATCAGAGTTCTCTCTTTCTTCTTCAGAGTAATGACGTTTCTCCCCCTCGTCCTCCGACTGGTCGCTCTTAGCCGCTCCTCCCCACTTCTCATCCTCTGACTGGTTCTCCCTGGCAGAAGCTTCTCCATCACTGTGAGGTGTGCCTGGCGCAGACTGCGGAGTCCCAGGCTCGCTGTGCACACTGGATATAAACATACATTTGGATGAAATTAAAATCAGGTCTTCGGACTACACAGGATGGACTTTTGATAGATGAATAAACACAAGTACATGTTCTTAGACAGTGTTAAAAGGTCACATAATAGCTTGGCATTGTTATACTTAACTAAAGTACTGTGTTTTAGTTGGGGTCCCCTCTGGCATCATGTCATGTTATGTTATTTCAGTTTAACAATGAAGCAAATCCAGTGTGTGTTGGCTTACCTTCTGTCTGAACGGGCACTGCCCCTCTCGGAGCGAGGGCTTCCCCCTCCAGACATCGCGCTGCCAGCCGGGCTTCCTCTGTCCGACTGGTGGCCCCTCTCCTCTTCGTCTTCATCCTCGTCTTGACGGCCGCGCTCTGAGCCGCTGTGCTGCTCTGCGCCGCTGTGCTGCTCTGCGCCGCTGTGCTGCTCTGCTTCGGAGTGATCCCCCTGGTCTGAGTGCATGCTGGCCTCTGACTGGTTCCCCGAGCGCTCAGACTGGTTGTCGCTGCCGCTGCGTTGACTGCGCTGACTGCGAGGACTGTGCTGACTGCGAGGACTGTGCTGACTGCGAGGACTGTGCTGACTGCGAGGACTTTGCTGACTGCGAGGACTGTGCTGACTGCGAGGACTGTGCTGACTGCGAGGACTGTGCTGACTGCGCTGCTCGTCCTCACTGTCGTCTCCAAACAGCTCCTATTAGGTTGAAATAAAGTTAAGTTAGATGTGAGAGACGAGTACACAATGATTATAAATGAATCAGTGGTTCTAGAAGGGTATAACGTTATCCATGATGGCTGACCCCTGGTGTCAGAAGGTGGGGTAGACATAATGTAAAAAACAAAGTTAATAGCTGATACTGGCAGTAAATCGTAATAAAGTCGTAGTATAAATCAGTATTTATTATCAGTCCATCGTTAGGGTTAGGGTTTTAATTCTATGGTCAGCAGAATCTCCAAGTGTGTCTGCTTTTAACCTTTTTCTAATTGGCTTACACACTTTATTTACATTTCTGTGCTTATACATGCAATACATATGACATGTATTCAGGGTTTCATATTTCCCCCTACTCTTTTGATAATAAGCAGTCAAGTTAAGGCTGAACAATAAATCAGAATGTTGTCAAAGTTGCAATATGACTTGTAAAATAACCAAATTGCAGGAGCTTTATTATTTGATTCAAAATACACTACATTTTGCTGCAAAGATGTCCCAGGCTACAAACTATATTCTGCACACTTACAAGAATGTATTTGTTTGGAACAGATCTCCATTTAAAAAAATCAAACCATTACATTTTAATATAAAAAACGAGAATAATGATGCTAAAAAGATCACTCAAATATGCTGAATAATAATGCAATTGCATATTGGTCAAAACAAGCGCAATTAAATCATTTTTCCAAGTAGTTACGCCTTAGTCTAATGTCACAGATATAAAAACCAGACACGATAAAATAAGAACGTAATGTCGTCGGGCTGTTGGATTTATTAGCTATTCTATTATTAAATGATAGTAAATGTTTGAGTGATTATTGGACAGGGGTCAGAGTAAATCCACAAAGAGTGTCATTCTTCAAACACACACCTTATTAATGCTGGCTTTTCCTGTCTCCCGGCCGTCCTCATCGTCCCGTTCCCTCTCACTGCCACTGCCGCTGCCGCTGCCCGAGGCGTTGCTGGCGGATCGGGGTCTCTCCTGCTCCGAGTCTGAACCAGAGACAGACACTGCTGAAACACAATAAAGCAATGAGCATTCATTATTTATTCTGGGACAGAGTGTAGCTCATCCTAATTGCTCTCGCACAGTTCTATATCAATATCAACACCAATAGACGTTATTAAAAATGGTACAGGTGTACATATCAGAATCAAAACCAGAATAATGTTTATTGCCAAGTATGCCTAGTGTTTAAGATTTAAACAAATGTGCCATAGTATTTGGTACACCAACCATAACAAGAGGAACAAATAAATACATGCAGAGTACTGTCAATATCAAGAACTTAAATACAGAATAAAAGCCTTACAACAAAAAAATGAAAACTCTAAGTGGAAATTGGGTGTATAACAATATAAAAAAAATGAAACGTAAATCGCTGGTTGGTGCATGTTAAGAAACATTTAAATAAATCTGCAACATGTGTTTGTAATATTGCATGTGATTTGGTTGATACTACTAAACGTATTATTATGTATTTTTTAAATACTGTTACTGGATAACCTGGAACGGTACTTTTGTAAATTGTAATTTGTTTAATTTCCATCTTTAATATGTTATGCATGCTCTTATTTAGATTGCCATACCAATGTAAAGTTCCCTTCTGTGGGACTAATACAGGTAGGCCTATTCTGATTATGTCTGTGAAATAAGTACTAGATTATTTTTAACCTTTGTAGTGTTGACATTTTGGAATTGAATAAATACAATCTTAAAACATGATTTAAGCAGTTAGAGCGTTTTTTCACTCGCTTGTTTTTCCACTGGCCAAACTAACTAAGCTAAGTGTTGTTTGGCTGATGAGAGCATGTGCTGGAGATACAAACTGCACTGTTGTTGCAGCTCAGCTAAATAAGCTGGTTCATAAAAAATACAGAGAGCTAGCTTTGTAATGCAAACTAAAGAATAAACGTTGACTCGTTTCTCCGTTTCTCATATAGCTAGTTTTTAAATAATATTAGATACCGACACCGTTACACCGGGGTAATGTTCGGGCAGAGCTAATGCTAACGTGGTTAGCATCGGGAAACACTCGACACCGCTATAAACTAGATTAATCAATAAATACTATTTTCACCGACTGAGAGACAGTTTTACCTTGCTGCTCATTGTCGCTGTCCCCATCACTCCCGAACAAGTCATCCATGTCCGCCATTTCTTCCAAACTGTGGCAGCAACAATGTGACCTAACAGGAAATGATCGCCCGGTTCTGAGGGATGGTTTTGTTTCCGAGTTCAATCCGCGGCGGACATGTTTGTGTAGTGAGCGAAGTCAGCCACAAGAAGGGGGTACACACCGTTCTTATTATACATCCATGGGTACACACCACAGTAAACTCTGAGGCTCTGCTGGTCTCTCTCAACATTTAATCCTCCAATAAATGCAAACATTTCATATTTAAACAATATATTTCTGTTTTTTTATATATTTTTTCCAGCTGTATAATGCTATGTATCTATCTTGTTTTTCCAGCTGCTATCTATCTTGTTTGAAGAACATTTCAGATACTTTCTCCCCAGTTTCCTTCACTTTCCTATCACTTATACTAAAATAATATACAGTTTATTACGAAAAGGGTATGGTCAGCAACAAAGACATATGCAAAGAAACTGAGAAAACTATTTAACAGTAAAACTAACTTTTTCAAACCTTATGAGGATGGTATACCATTATTTGATTGAATATAATGAAGCTGCTAAAACGTTTATGAATGTGTAGGCCTAAAAGACGAAAAGCAAATCATCTAGGTCTATTGCATTTCAAAGTATACAAGTACATCTATATTTCATTTGTGAAATATTTGCAATGTCATGACTAGATTAAAAAGTTGTATTTTTTTCATGTTATTGGTTAATTTATATATTTGTTTGGTGTACCCTATGCTTGTAATCATGTATGTATTGTGCACATGAATTATGGGAGGCTGTGGCTCAGTGGTTAATGTGCTGGACTTCGAATCAGGGGGATAGCAAGTTTGAGTCCCACTGCAGTCATTTGTCGTTGTGTCCCTGGGCAAGACACTTCACCCCAAATTGCTCCTGTGGGGATTGTCCACAGTACTGAATGCATGTAAGTCGCTTTGGATAAAAGCGTCTAACAAATGACATGTAATGTAATTATCTTTGTGGGCCAGAAAACAGCAAATTAATGGTTCAAAAAATAAATATTATAGAAATCATGCTGCAGTAAACCCTGTCTTCACCTTCAGCCATTACTGCAGACAGAGGTCTACATTTATCCTTTGTTGTAAAACTGGATTAAAATGACAGTAAAGATGTCTTTAGTACATTACAACCCCTCTAGTGGATTGTAGTTTCTGTGTTACATGCTAGGGATCTTGTTACAGTGCACATACAGTATGTGAACTGTCTGGGCACAAGACATCCTATCTCCTCTATTGTGCAACACAGTCTGAAAAAAAGAAAAGAACGAGCAGCCGTCTATCTTTAGAATCAAAGTTAATTTAAGGTTTATAGTGTACTAGACACTGTACATTTTTTTGAAAGAGGTAGCGAACAACAAAAAGAGATAGAAATGCTCTAGTTTTGCATGTGTTTATATAGTCTGTCTGGTCTTTGGTATTTGTGGTTCACTTCTTGGCACTATGGAAAATGCTTTGCATCTCTTTTGATGCATGAACAGACTTCACTTCAAACACTAACATTTTGCCGTAAGAAAATAAACTTATTACACTCAACCTTTCGTTGTAGCCTACTCCTCTTCAATATAACAATGGGGTTTGGTTGTTTGTGCAAAATGTAATGTTGGGCTATACCACACATCACAAAACTGTACATATTATTATAATTTGGGATCAATAAAGTATATCTTATCTTATTCCTCTATTTTAAGTGGGCTGTTGGTTTATTCTGATAACAACGAAATGTTCTGTAAGCCTTACTTTTAGGTAGCACCCATCTCATCTCATAATAGTTTAATGTTTAGTAGGTGGGGCAAAATTAAATTCTTAACTCAAGGTCCACCTACCAGTTTTTTCATAGGCCTATAACTGCTTCTCGTGGTCATATCATTGATATGTAATTCATTGTAATAATGATTAATAGTACGATATTTACTGAGATCTAAGTACAGTAATAACATATTTTTTTAAATAATGTTATATTTTTTAATATATATTTCTAAAGCCTTTCCTTCTTTGTTAACTGGATATGAATAAAGGGAAAATGTAAGTAAAAGTAATAAAGTATTGCACAGTGGAAAAATATTTTATTATATTTCCGATCTCTCATCTAATTTGTCCGTTTCGGTGCAAAAGGGCGGGACAATGTACGCTATTGGTTACCACCTAAAATAATCTCTGCCTATTGGGTAATTCAGACGTCACTCGGGGAATGCTCTGGTTCTCCCTTCCTGTGTTACCGCCCTTGGGCTGAGTGAGAAATCAAGCACTGGAGACATCGCTTTCACTGGGAAGACTGGCGATATTTGGAGATTTTTTAGTTAGGTCCCATTAGCCTCAGGTAAGAAAACAAATACTTCGGGGGGTTAGAGGTGAATTCAGCGAACTTGCTAGCCGTACTGTTCAACATACTGTCACTTGTGCTGGTTTAGCTAAACGGCTATCAACTTGAGTCCACTGTTAGCTGCCTGTTAGCTGCTACATGTCATAGTGCTGTTTCGCATGGTGTTACTGCATCCGACTCAAATGTAGCTAAGTTACCAGACTATAGTCAAATAAACTGCTTAACAGTTAACGTGTGTTGTGTTTTACCTGGCGATGTTAATCACTATCAACACGCTTACTGTAAGTGTTGTAATCATAAACATGTCAAGATCGAGTTAGCTAACACCGTTACGATGTGTCCACAAGAGATGGATGAAACTATTATTGTGTATTAGTTAGGGCTGTTAACTTACCACCAAAGAAAGACATTGACGTGAATATAATATTAGTAGTGCGGTATGATATGTTGGTGCTATGCAGTATAAAGTATCCTCGAATGATCTGCTAGTTCTTGTTTTGTTGTGTAATACTGTGCCAAATTGTAAGAACAATATAAGAAAAATGCGTCTCAGCCCCTCCCTGTCCGCCTGAATGCGTTGACAGCCAGGACATCAATACCTCGATTGTCTGTTTTACTAAGACAAGAGTTTCAGTGTTTTTTAAGGACGTAGTTTTGGTGGGGTGACTCACACCAGTGTGGACGGTGAGGTAAAAGGCTGTGGCTTTAGCAGCAGTTCTTCTTGTTTGATAGGTGCAAGGTCTTTGTACATGTGTCACTGAGTCTACCACAGGCACATTCTTTGTGTAGAAGCTAATATGGATGTTTATTTGTGAGTTCACAAAGGTAGTTTGACCAGCAGGGCTCAATGGTGAATGAAGGGTGTGGTCCAAGTCTTAAGGAGGACGTCTGCTTTTGGAAGCCTGAAGCTAGGTTGCCCTGCTGAAGGGGTGCAGCAGGTAACTGAGGAATGTCCTAGTGACTGCTGAGATTGCATTTGTGTTGATACTGCCAGTGCATACAACACCACGCTCTGCACTGCAGTATTGCAGATAAACTGGCTCATCACACAGGATTTGGTTTCCTGCTTACCTTTCACTGTGTGAGTGAAACCTGGCTATGGGTGCGTTGTTTCACACTTGATGCAATTCAAGGCTCAAGGCTTTTATTTGTCATACGTACGTACATAGCTACAGTGTAGTTATGTCGATGAAAATCTTAGGTCACAGGCTCCACCAACAGTGCAACACAATACAACTGAAAAATAGTGCAAGTAAATACAAAATAAATAGTGCAATAAGAGTCTATATACAAGTGATTGGAATATGATATATTAGATAAAAAATGTGTAAGTTGCAGCCAGATGAATGTTATGGATGTTCTACAGTCACAGTAGCGATTAACATCTGTCTTTACATTTTTTACAAAGGCGTAAAAAAGGGGTCACTGTTCTTGGACAGCATCATTCATAGTCAAGGCAAGACCTTCTCAAGATGAGAGTCAAGACACAACTTGAAATGTGTTCTCATTATTTATTAATGGTGTGTGTATGTGTGTCTGGAGTGTGTCATTGAAACGGTGTAGTTTGCTAATAGTGTGTGTTTGTTTGAGAAACACCCCACTTCCTGTCTGGCCCTTGTACACAAGTTGGAGGGACACAACATGCTTAAGTGAATGAACTACATGAATGATTGTTGTTTTCTTTTTCTGACATGTGTTTATATTACCACACGTAAAATAAAAAAAATTCCATTGATATGTAAACACATGTACTTTCAGTGACACCTATATGTTCTTATTGTTTTTACTTGTTCATGTATTATAGTGAACATACCTTAGGGACGGCATGATTAGACCCTCTGTTGCTATATTTCTCTCTCCATGTGTTCTCTATCATTTCTGACACTTCCAGGCACCTCAGGGGGAGGATGATTCAAAGGATTGAGGAGAACTGAGTTACAACAGGGAGGAGAGAAGGAATGGTAGAGAATTAAAGTGTAGAGTAGGTAGGTGGTAGGAGGAAGTGCAGACTATTGTCCCATTGGTAGCAGAGCTGGGCCATTCTAACTATAGTCTTTTTGTGGGTTGACTGGGCGGTGCTCTATAATAATATAATAATAACCAGTTAGTGCTTCCTGTACATCTCTGATCTGCGAGTCATTTTTCCTACGGCTTCTGCCTCTGGGATCTAAAATTGGCTACCTGGATATTGGTAGCAAAAGCTATACTTGATGGAGATAAATGTAGTATGTTTTTTTTGACTAAATAGGGTTACATGATATCATAAAAAATATGCAATTACTTATTTGAATATTGTGATTATGATAGATCATGCAATAAAGAATAATTTATTAAAGTGTACTCACTTTGGCTTGATGCTGGTTTCATTATAAAACCCAATACTCATTGAATAAAACATTTTATATTTCTTCCGACATTCTTTTATTGAGCCAAATTAAACTCAATACCAATAGAAAAATACTTATATAAATATTTTGAAGTTTCGTTTTTTACGATAGTCCCTTACAAACTAATGCACTTGCATTCTTTAGCTATGTGTTAATCACGAAAATTGACATCACAATGAGGATTAATAAAACAAAATCATAGGCCTATTCTGTGTAGCCTGTGACTTTATTTCTTAATGAACATTGCCAATACTTTGCCCAGGAAAGAAATGGAAAGAAACATATTTTGATTCATACTCATAGTTTAACTTTATAACAGGCTATGCACA